GGTCGCTTCCTCTTGCTCCATAGCTGCCTGCGGCCACCACCAATAAATTACTGCTTTAAGGAAGACAAGGACAAGCCTTTTCCATGGAGAACAGAGTCTGCTCCCTCAATTATTTCCTAAGGTCCCGCCCTCCTTCCCAGCTTGACACCATGGCTTTGGAGCAGGTTTGCTGCTGTGCCTCGCACCCACAAAGCCACACAGCAACCGCCATGTGAGCCCAGGAGGCCTCCAGAGCAATTCTTCCCGCTGGCCCTCGGATTAGTCAAATCACGATTATTGCCTGGCTGACTGAGTGGCCATTTTTGTTCCGACGACTTAGCAGGGCAACTCTAAACTGTCTCTGTTTGTGTACCGCTTTTCTTCAGTCGGGAAATCTTGTCTTGTGACGGAGCTTTGATGGAACTCACTCCTAATCTCATTTTAGCGTGTGTTGGGGGGTGGGGAGGCGTCTTTCAGAAATTCAAGTTAAACTTGAAGACAAAGAGCTTCTCAGAAAAACTGGCAATGTTTTTCCTAAGCTGGTGTAGGGCTGCAAGGTAGAAAATCTACTTTCCAACACCATTTCTCACCTGTTCAGTGCTGAAGACAGAAGCTTAGGGACAGGACGGTGGCAGGGCACCGTTTTCCCTACTTGACATTTGATAGCCCTGTGTCTTGCATCTCAACCCTCTGCTAGAATTACTCACCCCTTGGGACGTAGTCTGCTTCTCTCTCTCTCTTTTAATCATCTGGGAAAACATTAACTCCATCCTTTTGATTATCCCCTACAATCAGCAAGAAAGGCTGTACTTTTTATTTTTCCTTTCAAAAACAAAAAAACGAGGGACTCGCTGAAATGGATCTTAGTTGGGAGAATACTTGCCTTGCATGCCCGAAGCCCTGGATTCCACCCCGGTGCTGCAAAAGAGGACAAGAGAATCCTTTATATTATCTCTTCCTCCTCCTCCATTTTCTTCTCCTTCTACTTCTTTTTCAGTGTGTGTCGTGTGTGTGTGTGTGTGTGTGTGTGTGTGTGTGTGTGTGTGTGTGTACACATCGGGGATTGGAGAGGAAATCGGTATATGTGTGTTGATGTGCCATCTATCTATTTTTAGAGACAGGGTCTCTCACTGACCTCACGTGCAAGATCCAGAGATGTCGAGTCTCTTGGGTACTGGGATTACAAGTGTCACCTTACCTGGCTTTCTTTATTTTTTTTGTTCTCTCTCTCTCTCTCTCTCTCTCTCTCTCTCTCTCTCTCTCTCTCTCTCTCTCTCCCTCAGCATAGGTTCTGAGAGACTGGATTCTACAAAGCAAGCACTTCACCAACTAAGGCATCTCTGGACCCTTGCTATTCAGAAGACCTTGAATGTCGATGCCTCCTGCCATCTACCACCGAGAAAAGGAGCTATTCATGAGCTTTCTCCCTGACTGACTTGGAGCCTGTTTTGGACAGAGCGGAGCTTTCTGTCACACACGCAGAGACAGCAAATCAACCAGCTGTAGAGCAAGCAACAGGAGGTGACAGGATGCTTGCCACTGGGTCCCTTTGTAAGCGTCCCCCACAAACTGCGGCCAGGGCTAGTTACCCTTTGGGTTAAAGCAATCCTGAGAACTTAGGGACACTGCCAAAGCCTTGACAGCTCCTAAGCCTGGCCTCTGTTGCCAGAGCCACACAGGAAAGCTGTTAATTCTTTAAATGAAGGCTCGGTAAACAACCAAGGGGCCCATCATTTGCTCAGCATCAGGCTAGCTGGAGCACTGCGATCTGAGCGTTCTGGTGAAGGAACCTGGAATGTTTAGGCAAGAGGCGTGTAAGACATATTTGCTTGTTTAGAAAGTTGAATCACAAGAGGTGTCACTCAAAGCAGTAGGTAAGTAAATGCCAAATGCTCTTGTGGAGGAAGAAGCATTCAGAGGGTAGATCGCATTGGCCAGAGAAAGACAGTCATTGTGATGGAGTGGAGAGCACTGGGGCTCTGGAGCCAGGCAGACTGGGCACAGATTTTATGTGAGCACAAGGAGGAAAGCTATCTCCCCCCCCCCTCCGACTTTAGCTTCCTTATCCTGGGAGACAGGTCTCTGCCTGACGGGACTGGGGAGGGGATTAGCCAAGGAGGATGCACTTAACAAGCGTTCAGTCGATATTTGAGTTTGATGTGTTTTTTTCTAAAGTACGCCACAAAGCTGAGGTGTAGGTCAATGGGTAAGACAGCCTGTCCCACAGGTACATAGTCCTGAGTTTAATTCTAGCACCACATAAACTGGGCACACCTGCAGTCCCAGTACTTGGGAGGTGGAGGCAGGAGGACCAGAGACACACAGAGGAAAACTCAGCCACACAGGGAGGCCAACCTGGGACACATGAAACCCACTGCCTGAGGAGAAAGCCCAGGGCTTCATGCCTGCGGGGCAAGCTCTCTACCAGTGGAGCTGCACCCCCTGCTCCCTAAGACACATTTTGGCATAACTGAGGTCATACAGACTAACATACAGTTTCCATGCCACCCTGTGCAGTTTCTTCCATAAGCATTTCCCCGCACTGTTAAAAAAAAAAATCTTTCACAAACATTCACAACACCCGTAGTGTTTCATTCACAGATGTACCAAAATCTCCTGCACTCGTCTGCTAACAGTGGACATTTGAGGCTACTCAAGCTATCATTGACTAGTCTATTATTAACACTACTGTAAACAATATTCCCATGAAGAGCTTTGTAGCTTAACTAATTCCTGGGGCTATGTCGTTATAGGTGGAATTAGTACTCTAGGAAGGTTCTGGCTACATAAACACTGTTCATTGAAGCTGCTCAAATATCACACACACACACACACACACACACACACACACACTTGCCAGTGACAAGCAAGAAGCGGCTGGTCTTTTCCAATCCAGAAGCCAAATATTATCTTTGAAAGAAGAAAAAATCCCCCTTCCCCTCCCCCAATTCTATAGTCACCAAATAGCATTTCATTGTCCCCTTATCTGCTTCCTCCAGTGAATATCCTTCACAGGACCTAGAAAGGCATGTGCGGACCATGGAAGGAAGCTCTCTTTTGTCTGCCAACAACCAACAAATATTAATTATGCAAATCATTTTACTCAGATGGTACTCTCTGTCGTTCGGGGACAGGTCTGGAAGATTCCCCCTCTCCCATTCTAGCCTGTGTGAATGCAGGAGTTTGGAGGTCCAGTACAGCTGACAGTCCTGCTGCGGTCCAACTTCCCATCCCGAACGCTGGCACTCTTCTCACAGGTCTGACACTCCAGCCCCACGGCGCGGCGCTTCTGTCTGTCCTAACTAGTTTATGGAAACATGAGCTTTATTAATGATTTGACACAATTAAGAGTGCCTGTGAAAGTTCTTGGCTCCTAACTTGGCTGTTTTTGAGGGTCGCACCTCCTAATTCCAAGGATCATGTCAAGTGCAAAGCCCAAGAGGGCCTGACCGGCAAACTTTGGAGGGAGAGTGCCCAGGCCACACAGGAAGATGGCGCATCATTTACGGAAAAAGGTTCCCAGGCTCCAAACTAGCTCCCCAGCACCTCCAACCAAAAGGCTTCATTAGATCAAGAAGGGGATGCAAATGTATTATAGTTCAGCTAGTAGATTGCTCGCCTAGCGTGCACAAAGCTCTCTGTTCAAGCCACGGCACCACGAAAACTGGGCATGGTGGCACACCGCCGTATTCCCAAAACTAGGCAGGTGACAGACAAGAGCATCAGAAGTTCATGGCCAGCCTGGTCGACATAAAACTGTCTCCAAACAAAAACGGGGACGGAGAGGACAGCGATTGGAATGGAGTTCAAGGACCCAGTCTGGGCCTGCATTCTTCTAAGGACCATCCCAGGACGAGGGGGGGGGGGAACGGGGGGGACGGGGGGGGGACAATCTAGGTTGCCTGGCAACCCAGGCTCCGGCAGCGGGAAGTCTCTTCTTCTCCCTCAAGCCTCCCCCCCTCCCCCCCCCCCCCCAATCTCGCAATCTGGTTGGTTCTGGCCCCGCCCTTCTCTCGCTCCCCGCCCCACCCAGGCTCGGCGCCGGCCCGAACTGGCGCGAGTCTGGGAAGCTGTCTGGGCGCCCACTCCATCCCCTAGCCTGTCTGAGACTCTAACCATCCACCCCTGCAACCCCACCCCCAACCCCCGCCTAACCAACTCTTCATTAAGAATTCCCATCCGTGCTCCAACTTAGTGTTCTGCGTGGGAGACGCGGGTTGGGCGTAAAGGGAAAGCTCTGGTCTCAGGACTGGCTTGCAGTACCGAGCTGCTCTGTTTGGTCCCCCAGAGCTCGCGGAGCGTCAGCCCGCCCCGATGCACAGCTCGTGGGACTCTGTAATTACCTGTTAACTATAATGCATTGCTATATGCTTATGAAATGAAAATGGACCTTTGCGTCTGTGCAGGTTTCTTAGGATTGTTACACATAGTCCTCGTCGCTAAATCCCTCATTATAATAAAGCACACCTTAATCATTAAAAAAAAAAAAAAGTCTCTTCACGAATTGGTTGCCACTACTGTGATTTTCTTGCTGGGGGTATACCTCCACTTCTCGAAGGGTCCGCAAGTGTTTTCTGCTCATCGACATCTGATCCTGATGTCATTACTGTGAATGGGCAGTAACACACACTTGCATCCAGAAGAGCTTGGATAGCAGGAGCGCCTGACAGCTCAGGGAATGGAGTCAGACCCTGGCCGGGCTTCCAACATTGCCGCCTACTGGTTAGGTAGGTGCCAAGTCACCCCCTTCTCCACACACACACACACCCCACGCCACTCTGGTCTCAAAGTCTCCATCGGTAAACTCCCAAGTCTAGAAGTCTATCCACTTGGGCAAGGATGGATGCGCAACCCACAGAAACTCGCTGGCTGGTACCCTGCTTTCCCCAACATTATCCAGCCAGGCTCTGGACCCACGAAGTGACCTACAGCAGAACAGCAGCAGCCGCTCTCAGACTTCGGCGCCCCGGCGCTCCGAGCCCCTCCCCCGCCGCGCTCCTCCCGCCCCGTCCGATCTGCGCATGCGCTGCCCCGCGAGCGTGTTTTTATAAAAGTCCAGTTCGGGCCAGAAACTTCAATTTGTTGCCTGGTGCAGCAGGTAGCAGTGACCCTCCGAGGCGTTCGGTGCTCCGGTAGCCACCACGGCTGGAGAGCGAGTGTTGCCATGGAAGGCATCAGTGTGAGTGTAAGTCCAGTTGCATCCTACCTTGTAATAAGCGTGCAAACTTAGAGCGCAACCCCTCTAAGAACGGGTGGAAGCGAACAGAACCTTGGGGATGCTAGGGTCACGAAGAAGGGGCGCGGGAGCTAATTTTTTTGTGAGCATGGCTATAGGGGGAGGAGGATAGGAATGTTTTTCTCAGTCAATAGAGGCGGGGGAAGGTTCCGATGGAGCTTTCCTGAAGCTGCTGCTGTTTCCCCCTTGAGTCTCGTGGCGCTCGCCCGCCGGCTTGCACGCTGTTTGAAAACGTCCCGGGTTTGTGTTTGTTTGTTTGTTTGTTTGTTTGTTTGTTTGTTTGTTTGTGCATGTTGCACACGGGCGAAGAAGACTCGCGCTCTGCCCCGGGACTCAGTCATCGTCTGGTCCTCCTGAGAACAGGAGTTTCTTACATTGTGTGAATGTAGAGACTGAAGTCGGTACTTGTAGGCAGAGTCCCCGGGTCGACACTACATCCTGGGTGAGCTTCGAACAGAAGCGTCTTGGAGTTAGGAGTGCGGTTCCAAAATTCTCTGCCGCGGCTCCTCTGCCGAGGAGCGCCAGTCTCCGGCGGGAAGCGCGCACTAGCCTACCGCGTTGCTTGCCTAGGGGCGTCCAAACCGCGGCAGCCGCGGGGAGGTGACCAAACGTGTCCGCTCTGGGGTGAAGTGGCAGCGCTTTTGCGGACATCCGAAAGGTGGCCAATGAGCCTCCCGAGGTCTGGGTGGCCTTTAGGATTGTCCACGAGAAAGGGGCATACGCCTGCACCACGCAGCTGCTGCCCGGGAGGTGTGCTCGGCGGGATGGTGGTTGGGGACCGGAGGGCGTGTTGGAACCGCACCTGGGTTGTGCCGGGTCGCCGCAGGGATGAACAGGTGCAAGCCTGGAGACGGTTTGACTGAGCCCCAGTGCAGAGTTTAACCGTCGGTGGTTTCCTGAGTCTTTTGAAACCCCCTCGCTTAGGGAGGGTTTTGTTGTGAATTTTTTTTTTTTTTCGTTTCCTCCCGCGGCGCGCAATTCAAAGGCGCTCGCACTGGAGCCGCCCAATCTGTTGCCAGCACCCGGAGGGACGATCCTGGCGCGCAGCCAGGAGGAACCCCTGGAACCGCTGCCGGTTGGCCTTAGGCCTGAGTGCGGTGGGCAACAGCACCAGCCCCTAGGTGGGTGACTCGGAACCCAGGGGTGTGCACGGTCTAGACGTCCCCCACCCCGGCTGCTTACCTCGGACCCCAGTAGCTAGCTGGGTCGGCTGCAGGGTGGGAAAGGACTGGGAGAGTGAGGAAGTGAAACTTGGGGCGAAAACCACGGGGTGTAGACCCCGTGACTTTCCCCACCCAGGATAATGTGACTCTAACGTCCCAGATACACCCAGCGATAAACATGGGGGTGGCAAGAGAGGCTTACCTTCCAGAGAAGCGCGGGAGTTGGGGTGGGGTGGGGTAGAGGAGCGCTGTTTGCTCATTTTTAACACTCCCATAACCCTAAACCGCACCCCTACTTCCAAGACTTTGGCGTTACTCCTCTTTCTTCACTACGCGTGACTTGAAATGTAGTGGTTTGTGTTTAGACAGACTTGTGAAAAAGGAAATTTTGCACCTAAAAAGCGTTGAGTCTTTGGGGGGACCCCCACCATCATGCTCTGCTTTCCTAGAAAAAAAAAAAAAAAAAAAAAAAACTTACTCCCATCTCCTCCTTCAACACAGATTTAGCTCCACACCGCTCACTCCCACCCTGCAGCGCCCAGGAGTGACTTCTTTGTGTGAATGGAGGTTTTTTGTTGTTGTTGTTGTTTGTTTTGGTTTGGGATTTTACTTTTTTTTTTCTTGCCTCTCGTGGGCGGGCGGGAGAGTTATCCAAGACTCGGCTGTGCACCCCTTAGAATCTCAACGTCCTTTTGTTCTAAACAAAGACGCCTAATTGGTTCCACTAAAGAAGGGATATATAAGGAAGTGGTGGCGGGGAGGATGGAGAAACCCGTTGGTTGCAGGATTCTGTATTCTCTCTGGACCTAAGCCAGCCCTTTGGAAGTTTCCTGGAAAAGGCTGGATTTAAACCTGCAATTTAAAAAAAAAAAAAATGCTAGTTTATTAAGCACCAGGAACACCTAAAACTTGGGAAAGGCTTGTTGACCTTGTAAGTGATGTGCATGTCCCTGTTTTCTTTTGCAGATATATACTGCAGATAACTATTCTGAAGAACTAGGGTCGGGGGACTATGACTCCAACAAGGAACCCTGCTTCCGGGATGAAAACACCCATTTCAACAGGATTTTCCTACCCACCGTCTACTTTATCATCTTCTTGACTGGCATAGTGGGCAATGGGTTGGTGATCCTGGTCATGGGTTACCAGAAGAAACTAAGAAGCATGACTGACAAGTACAGGCTGCACCTGTCCGTGGCCGACCTCCTCTTCGTCATCACGCTCCCCTTCTGGGCGGTGGATGCCATGGCTGACTGGTACTTTGGGAAATTTTTATGTACGGCCGTCCATGTCATCTACACTGTCAACCTCTACAGCAGTGTCCTCATCCTGGCCTTCATCAGCCTGGACCGGTACCTCGCCATTGTCCATGCCACCAACAGCCAGAGGCCAAGGAAGCTGCTGGCTGAAAAGGCAGTCTACCTGGGTGTCTGGATCCCTGCTTTCCTGCTGACTATCCCTGATTTCATCTTTGCTGACGTCAGCCAGGTAGACGGCAGGTACATCTGTGACCGCCTGTACCCCGATAGCCTGTGGGTGGTGGTGTTCCAGTTCCAGCACATCATGGTGGGGCTTATCCTGCCGGGCATCGTCATTCTGTCCTGTTACTGCATTATCATCTCCAAGCTGTCCCACTCCAAGGGCCACCAGAAGCGCAAGGCTCTCAAGACGACAGTCATTCTCATCCTGGCCTTCTTTGCCTGCTGGCTGCCGTATTACGTCGGAATCAGCATCGACTCCTTCATCCTTCTGGAGGTCATCAAGCAAGGATGTGATTTCGAGAGCCTGGTGCACAAGTGGATCTCCATCACGGAGGCCCTCGCCTTCTTCCACTGCTGCCTGAACCCCATCCTCTATGCCTTCCTGGGAGCCAAATTCAAAACCTCAGCCCAGCATGCACTCAACTCCATGAGCCGAGGCTCCAGCCTCAAGATCCTTTCCAAAGGAAAGCGGGGTGGACACTCCTCTGTCTCGACAGAGTCGGAGTCTTCAAGTTTTCATTCCAGCTAACACTTATGGAAAGACATATATAATATATATATATATATATGATAAAAGAACTTTTTATGTTACACATTTTCATATATAAAAGACTGACCAGTCCTGTACAGTTTTTTTTTATTGACTGTTGGAGTTTATGTCTTTTTAGTTTCTGTGAGAGATGACTTAATTTATATAAATATTGTTCGTTTGTTCCATGTGAATGAGTGGTCAGGTTCTTAGTTGTTGTTTGTGTGTAGGACTGTAGAGCTGTAGAGCTGAAAACTGAAGATTTTCGGACCTGTGGTGAATGAACTGAAGCTAGAAGTGATCCTCAGCTGTTGCTGCCTAATCTCTCCGTTCCCGAGGAGCACACCCCCCCCACCTCCCCGCCCCGCCCCACCCCCACCCCCGTTCTTAGGTTGCCTAGTTATACTGTGTGATGTTTCTGTAAAGGATGGCACTTAAAACCAAAGCCTGACATGGGATAGAGATGCTTGTTTTTCAGTTTTCAAGAGTGGACTGCTCTCAGTACCTGCAAATGTACAGTCTTGTATTAAGTTGTTAATAAAACACAATGATGAACTTACTTGGTGTTGTACTATGTTGTCATTTCTGCTGGCTATCAGTAAGAATATGTTTGGGAAAGTAGACTAGTGAACACATTATGGCACAGCAGAGATCCTCCTGGGTGTGTGGATGTGGGCTCACGTAGGGGCACATGCATGATGCGTTGGGTGGTCAAGTCAACTTTAGATGTTCCTTGGGACCTGTCACACCCTGCTTTTTTTTTTGTTTTGTTTTTTTTGTTTGTTTGTTTTGTTTCTGTGTGTGTGTGTGTGTGTGTGTGTTTTGTTGGTTGGTTTTTTGTTTGGTTTGGTTTTTGTTTTTTTGAGACAGTCTCTCGCTGGCCTAGAACTGGAGAAGTAGACTAGACTGGCTAGCCAGCAAGCCCCAAGGAAGCAGCTGTCTCCCTCTTCCCAGAGCTGGGATCAAAATATGCACCACCATGCCCAGATTTTCACTAGCACCGTGGGAATCCAACTTGAGTTGTCAAGCTTACACAGCAAGCATGTTACCACCGGAGCCATCTCCCCAGCCCATCTTCAGTGATGCAGAATATTTTGCTTAAGCTTCACCTTAACTGGTGTCCTTTCTGCTTCTATTATCACGTAATATTTGCAGAGGAGGGAACCAGAGCACCGCAAGCTTGAGTAACTTGGTCTAAGGTGTGAGACAAGCAACAGCCAGTATTCCAAAGTCTGTCAGAAAGCCAAAGCTTTATACTTTCAACTCATGGAAGCTTAGGCATACCTGTGCAGTGCCCATTCCCATGAAGGACTGTCTTTCAGAAAGATGTGTGTGCACAAAGCAGGAGGAGCACAGGATGCTGCTTGCATCTCACTGCAGCTTTCCATCCGTCCCATCCGAAGGGAAGTCGGGCTGGACGCTGTGTATCATCTAGCGTAGGTGGCATCCCTCCCTTCTTACAGAGGTGGAAACTGAGGCTCAGAGACTCGCTATAACTTTTCTCTTCAATCGACACAACCCAGGGTTGACACCCTTTCTCCACCTTACCCACTACTGTCCCCCAGAACACCTGGCCAGATGTCAACTGAGTTGTTGTGAGCACAAAGCCAAAAGCGAATGTTTTCTTCATAAAATTAGCCGTAACCAAAATACCATCTTTGCAATGTCTTCCATGCAAATCTCAGCACCTTTATTCTGCCTCTTACAACACCAGCCTCTCCTGAGGGGCTCAACTAAAGCAACTGAAGATTAATGCTAGTGGTTTTTTTTGTTCTGTTTTTAGGGTTCCAAGATCTACTGAAGCAAGCTCCCCTCCATCGCCCGACTTTACACAAGGTTTTAGAGCCTTATGTAATAACCTAGAGCTATTTACACTAACGTTGTGCAAGCCTCAAACTCTTGAGTAAATTGCAGGTCCGGTCTCCATTTGAAGATAACTTCTCCTCTCCAGTGGCGCTACCTCTCCCACTTTGGAACACAAACAGGGTGCTGGAGGCATGCTCCCAGATAGTAAGTGAGATATAATTAAGACAATATTTGGTCTCTTAGTAATTGTTTCTGGCACAGAAAATCTGTTTGGGAAGGAAAAATTGCAAGGCCTTATCTTTCTTAGGCAAATCACATTTGTTCAAGACAAATTATAGATCCTGTGAAGGGAAATAACTTAATTACTTAAAATAGAATCTAATTTAGCTGTACATTTTTTTTTTTTTTGCAGCAGCAGCCTATGGATCCGGGGTAATTCATGCCAGTGTTCCTATTCCACTTGAGGACACAATTAGATTTTCAGTAGGAAATTATCTTGAGTTTTCTTGCCTTCCTCGGGGGAGTCTTAATTGGATCACCCTGAGACATAGTTTTAGATGTGCCTGCTGGAGGGCTTGGTCTTTCTTAAAGCTGTGAGCACTGTGGCGGGCTTCACTCCAACCTGCTCCATAAATATTTATTCACAGGGAGACAATAGGAGAAATCTTTGGGAGGAATTCTTTCTCTTTTCTCCTCTTGGCTTGAAACCCCCTCAGCCCAGATTCCTCGCCTTTGCCTTGGAGCCTCAACAAAAGGAACTTAGTGGAAACGAAATTCCCAGCATCACCCGTCTTCATGGGTATTTCAGTCTCCCTGGGAACAAAGGCTGATAGCTCCTTCTCAAAAAAGAAAAGAAAGGGTTTTTTTTTGTTGTTGTTGTTTTGTTTTGTTTTTAAAGGGCTTTACTCCCTCCCTCTTTCAAACGGGTTCCCCCCCACCCCCAATCATCCTCTGTCCCAACTCTGTCATGATGAACTGCTCCAAAGCTTTCCCTGTGTCCTGGTTTGTCTGGCAATGTGAGGAAACCCAGTCTGCCGGCCAGCCCTCACATGAAGTAACTGATTGTTCCTTGGGCTCCTCCCCCATGAATGGGGCCCTTGAAGGTCAGTAATGTAGCTGCAATTGTATAATGGAAGCTAAAATATTTAAATTGTATGCATGCTGCCAATAATGGTAGGAATATGACATCTGACTTAAAAACGACGTCAGGTCTCTAACTAGGCAGGAGCTTGGATGGTTTTTACCTCAAAAAAAAAAAAAAACAACTTTTGTTTTCCTGAAATGCCACTGGGTAATCTATCTCCCCAGTCTGCAGGCTTCCCAGCCTCCTTTCATGGCTGTATTTGTGTGAACAGAATCATTCCAGGGTGCTCTTTTGGGAGAAAACAGACTTTGTTTTAATAATTGAACCAAGTGTCTGTGGTTTTTCTCCTGTCTGCTACTCAGACACTAAATAAAGGCTCCACATACAATTGTGCATTGTTGTTCAATGGAATACTCATTTAGGAGAACCAAGGTGCCCTAGAGACAAAACTCAAGTTACCATAGAAAGCAACTCAGCACCCCTGCAATGCTTAGAAACATGTTCTGACAGCCTAGCGTCCTAAGGATGCACCCAGCTCTCAGGAGGAACCCTTTTGCCAGTCAGAGCTAAAGAACGCCCCAAGAAACCAGGACGTCATTCCCAAGAGTACAACCTACAAGGAATAGCAGTGTTCTGGGGCCAAAAGTAATGAAAATGGATTCTTTAAAGGCAGTGGTCCTCAGCTGGGAGCCGTGTCTCCCTCCAGGTAACATTCTGGTAGGTCCTGGAAATATTTTTGAGTGATCCTATTGAAGGGAGCAGGAGATGAGGGCGAAAGACCAGAGATGTTGCTTCAGATCCTATAATGCCCACAAAATCACCTGCCACAAAGAACTGGCTGACCCAGAATATCAGTGGTAGTATATAAAAGAAACTGCCTTTTAAAGGGAGATAACTCCATCAGTAAAATGTGTACAAGGGAGGAGGTGGAGACAGACCAATCCACTGGGCTTGATGGCCATTCCAACCTACTTGATGAGTTCAGGCCTCGGAGAGACCCTGCCTCAAAATAAACAACAAAAAAATGTAGATGGCACCTGAAAAATGACAGTCATGGTTGTCCTACACACACACACACACACACACACACACACACACACACACACACACGATCACCTGCACATTCATACACACATGCACACTGGTAGTTTGAATGAAAATAGCCCCATAGGCTTATAGGGACTGGCACTTTTGGAAGGTGTGGCCTTGTTGGAATAGGTGTGTCACTGGGGGCGGGGCTTTGAGGTGTCAGATGCTCAAGCCAGGCCCAGTGTGGCTCACTGCTCTCTTCCTGTTGCCTGCTGATCTGGATGTAGAACTCTCAGCTCCCTCTCCAGCACCATGTTGGAGCCTGTGTACTGCCATGCTTCCCACCATGATGATGACAGACTAACCTCTGAAACTGTAAGCCAGCCCCAATTAAACGTTTTCCTTTATAAGAGTTGCCCTGGTCGTGTGTCTCTTCACATCAATAGATACCCTAACTAAGACACACTAATGCACACACACATGAACATCTTGCACACACACACACACGGGCACCTACACAGTCACAAATGAATACTCATCACACACACACACACATACACACACACACACACACACACACACACACACTCACACACACACATACACACAATCCCTTTTTGAGGTTATAATACTTATGAAAATAAGGATATAGACAACCAGTATTTCTTTTTTATGTAAATGAAATTTTATTTTGTGTGTGCATGCATGAGTGTGTGTGTGTGTGTGTGTGTGTGTGTGTGTGTGTGTGTGCCAAAGCACATGTGTGAAAGTCAGAGGACAACTTAAACGAGTTGGTTCTCTCATCTTGTGGGTCCCTGGAATCAAACTGAGATTGTCTGTTTGGGTACAGGTGCCTTTACCTACTCAGCCATCTTGCTAGCCTAAAACCAGAATAATTCTATGAAATAACATGACTCCACAAAGGCCTTGATATGTTCTATTTGAATGCCTTGCCATGCCAAAATTTATCAGTTAAAATCCCACCACTTCGAGGGGATGGCCTTGAAGGGAGACCTCTGGGAAGAGATGGGGTCATAGGAGATGGGATTCCTGACCAGGGTCAGTGCCCTAGAAACCCAGCCAGCCTTTCAGACCTCCTAAGGACAGCTCAAAGCCACCAGCTATGAGTCACAAAGCAGGCCCTCACCAGACAGTGAATCTGTGAGTGCCTTGATCTCCACTTTCCCAGCCTCCAGAGAAATATATTTCTGTGGTCGCTAAGGAGTCAACCGAGTATTTGTTGTTACCGCAGCTCAGCGGAAGAGCATCACTGGGTGGGATTCAAGTGGGAGGCCAACATCTTCCTTCAGCCTTGTCTGCTGGACTTCACTTGAGGGCAGTGTGCTCCTCCTCACCTGCTCACCTCACACAGTCCTCTCCACCCTTAGACTCTTCACATGTGCCTCTTTTCAGCCCATTTTCTTCTCTCTTTAGATAATCTTCATATCCAGGCCAGGGGACTCTGCCATTACTTCTCCGCTCCTGGAGGGTGAGTGCAGTCCACGAAAGGGTGGACATATGGAGTACAGTGCCCAGTGAAATGGAACCTCTGGGGATCCTGTAATTCCTGTCTAGTATTGGCTCCTCTAAGCTGGCAATGTTGACTCCCTCACTCCTGACTCAGTTTAGAACACTTTCTA